ACTACTCTCAACTGTAGTCAATCTAGAAAAATGCAGACAGACTGGATAAGTCCAATCAAATAAAAACTAGTTTTTAATCAAGGTGTGTTCTTCAAGATGTGACAGAATCAGCCTACGCTTAAACAAGTATATCATACCTGCCTATATGGCAACAGTATTTTACAGAAGTATCTCAGTAGAGCAATATATTAATGCTTACATTGCCATCGAGAAAATAATATTTTGTATAGTTTCCAGTTAAAATTTTCAACTAAACTTAGCCAGTGGATCCACTGGGTCGAAGAAATGATGGCATGTCTTTCAAAGTGCTGCAGTGAATACTAGACTACCATTAAAGGGATCTTCTGGTATAGAACCCTATCTCCTGTTCACATGACCATATTCACTTAAGAGATCAGCACCACCTCACACCTTAAGACATTACTGAATACTCATATTTAGAGACAAAGATCCTCCAATATAGGACACAACTGAGTTAAAAGAATAGAGCCTAATAAAATCCCTTCCCCGAAAGGAAAGAATTCAATATGCATAAATGTTTAAGAAGAACAGCAGTGACTCTACTCTAACTACAAGATAAAAATACTTCTTCTCTAAAGTTCCTTTACAAATACTTGAGCCCAGACTTGGAAGGAAAAGTGGGATATAAATACATTAAACAACAAGCTGAGATATATGAAGAAACTTTCTATGCTTTAAGGATCTTTGCAGAGAAAAATCTACAACAGTACGACCTGTACAAGTCATTTCCTTCTTTCACGAAGTCCCTTTATCCTTTTAATTTTTAGATTACACTTCTTTAAGGCTGAAGAATGCTTTACTTTGCTTAACTACAATATACTAGTAGGAAAGCTATACCGAAACACTTCTCGTGCACAGAATCATAGAACTGCAAGAGACCCCAACAGCTATTCAGTCCAACTTCCTGTTATGCAGGAACACACAATCAAAGCATCCTTGACAGACAGCCATCCACTCTGTTTAAAAACTTCCAGAGGAGACTCCACTACACTGAGGCAGCAGCAAATTACAATGCAAGCAGGAATAGTTGGTATGTATTATCAATGTCTCTTAACCTCTTGCCACTTCTTAATGATAGAAATGTCTTTTTTGTTATTGTGGAAAAGATTTCCTCCATCCTTCTATACCTATGATGACTGATTCCAGTCAGCAATGCAAGGATAGAATCATAGAGTTGGAAGAGACCCATGCGCCACCCTGTCCAATCCTCCATCTTGAAAAATGACAAAATCAAAGCACTCTGACAGATGGCAATCCAGCCTGTTTCAAAACCTTAAAAAAGATGACTTCATAACACTCCGAGGCAGTGTATTCCAGGACCAATCACCTCTTACCATCAGGAATTTTTTTCAAATGTTTAGGTGGGATTTCTTTTCCTGTAATTTGAATCCTGTTTCTCTTTCAAAACTTTCAAAGGAGGCGACTCCACCACACTCTGAGGCAACCTATTCCATTATCAAATAGCTCTTATCCATCAGAGTTTTTCCTAATTTGCATCATTCCAATATGAATTAGAATTGAGCACAAAGGGTGCAACTACACTGTGGAATTAATGCTTGAACTGCCATGGCTGAATGGAGTAGCTGCAGTTTCACAAGCTCCGTCACCTTCTCTTCCCAAAAGTGCTGGTACCTCACCAAATGACAAACCACAGGATTCCACAGCATTGAGTCATTAGTGACAGTATTGATAGTTTGGTGAGGTACCAGCACTCTGTTAGAAAACGCAAAAGACCTTGTGAAAGTACAGTTTGTATAATTCAATAGCACTGAGCCATGACTGTCATGAGATTGGCAGTTTGGTAAGGCACCAGCACTTTTTGCTAGAGAAAGCAAAAAACCTTGTGAAAGTAGTTTGCATGATTCCATAACACTGAACCATGACAGAGATGTATAGTTTGGTGAGGTACTTGCACTATTTGACAGAGAAGGCAGAAGATCTTGTGAAAATAATGTTTGCATAATTCCATAGCACTGAATCATGACAGTCATGAGATTTGTAGTTTAAGTACCAGCACTCTTTGTTAGAAAAGGCAAAGGCCTTATAAAAGTACAGTATGCATGATTCTACAGCACTGAGCCATGTCAGTCATAAGATTTATAGTTTGGTGAGGGACTGGCATTCTTTGTTAGAGAAGGCAAAAGACATTGTAAAACTAAAACTGCATTGCAGAGTTACAACAGTCATGAGATTTGTAGTTTGGTGAGGTACTGGCACTCTTGTTAGAAAAGGTGAAAGACCTTGTGAAAGTAGGGCTCATGTGATTCCATAGCATTGAGCCATGATAGTCATGGAATTTGCAGTTTGGTGAGTACTGGCACTATTTGTGAGAGAAGCCAAAAGACAATGTAATACTACAACTCCCAAGACTGCATCACATTTAATCATGGCAATTAAAGTGGTGCCGAAATCAACGAATTCTACCAAGTGGGCCAAAAGTCACAAAGGCGTTTCGACATTTAATAAATCCTTTACATTT